CCTCCGGCTCGCTAGGGCTATCGGGGGATGCAACTTGGTTCGTAGAACCTGCATCAGACCCGCTGAAAGGACTATCTGAGCCATCCGAGCTAGACATCGGGAGTGATGAGATCCAGGAAAGTACTCACCCGGGCAAAAGCTGTAGACCACAGAAGCTCGGACGAACGGAAGACCTGGAGCGCGAACTGGAAAAACCTGGACACGAACTAGATGCGAGCTGAAACTCAGACGTGACCTCGAGAGAAGTACAGAAGTGACAACTAGGGTCCCCCCCCCCCCCGCTATTTATGCTCACAGTGACCGAAAGGCAATGGCTTAGATCAAAGCCAATCCGATGGCCTACGGCCGCACTAATGGCACGTCCCCCGAGACCGAGACGTGATTGGCGCACGTCTTTCTGAAACTGACAGAACGCCAGCACACTTCTCCTCAGAAAAAACGGCAGCGGCACATCTTTTTCAAATTTGAAAAAATGCCCGCTATTGCGCCCCCAAGTGGCACGCTTTTTTTGAAATTTCGAAGTAACGCACACGCCGCCACATCCATCAGCATTTAGACAGGCCGGCGCACTTCCCGCCTAAATGGACGCTCGAAGAAGCCCAAGAAACCCTGACAACGCACCTCGCGCCGGCAGAACCAAGATTCAAAGTGCAGAACAAATCTACCTAACACCTCGCGAACTCCCCGCACCAAGGCAAGACCCTTAGCACAAGGAGTGGGGGGCAATTGATGAAGGAAGATTTGGCCCGACCTCGCAAATCACGCCACGTGGCAAAAAACAAGTAGCTCGACACTTACCGAGGGAACAAACACCAAAGGGAAGAGACCAGCGGCCCGAACTCCCTGCAAGGTGCCCGAACTCCCAACTTAGTGCTCGAACTCCCTACGAGGGGCCCGAACTCTCCCTTTGGCTTGAGTCGCACAAAGCAGAGACCCGAACTGGCCCGTCCTATGACAGTTCGGGGCCCCCCTTATCCGAACTCAAGACTTCGCCTCACACACCGCTCCGGGCACTTCACTTCCGGAGCATTGAACTGGACGAACCACACCGTACCTGACACCGAAGGAGTCCGTATCCAGGGGCGGCGCACCTGACTAACTTGGGATCTGATGTCCGACGGCCGCATTTCAAACGGCCACCTGCCACCGTCACCT